CCGCTGCAACTGGGTTCTGGAAATCGGGGAGCCTGTGCCCAGGTGGTGATGGGCGGCCGTGTCCCTGTGGCCTCTGGGTGGGTGGCGAGGGGGAGGCCGCCTCTGGTGGGCGGGGGCGTGGCCGCTGCAGACACTCCGCCCAGGACACCGAGGTCCCCAGAGCAGGGGCCCAGGGCCCTCCTGCCACCCAGGACCGGCTCCTGAGCGGGGGCTGCGGGCCCTCACCACCCACGGGCCCCCACTTCAGGCCAGCAGCCACGGGGCCCCCGGGGGCGTGGGGCTCCAAAACATGGGGGCCCAGGAACACGGGCGGGAAGCCCCTGGGAAGCAGTGAGCTGTCCTTCGGAGGTGAGTGGTTCTCTTCCGGGTGGGAAGGTGGGTCCCGGCAGAACCAGCAGCAGCCGCCTCACAGCCGGGCACAGTCCCCCGGCCACGAAAACACAGTGTGGTCATGGGACACGCGGGTGGCCTTCAGGGTTCCAGTGGCCCGGAAGGCCCCGTGTGCCTTGGGCCCTGCTGTCCGGCCTCGGTGACCCTGTGACCTGCTGCGTCGGCCAGTAAGGAAGACAGGACCTGGGGCAGCATCCTGAGGAGGACAGTCCTGTGGATCCCACTCGGACGAGGCCCCTGGAGGACTCAGATCCACAGACACAGGAAGTGGACGGTGGGGGAGGGCGGGGCAGGGGGCGGGGAGGCGTGAGTGTTCAATGGGCAGTTTGTTTGGGACGATGAGAAAGTCCCGGAGATGGTGGCGGCGGCTGCACAGCAGCTTGGAGGTGCCCAACGCCGCTGAGCCGTGTGCTCAGAAAGGGGTGGGACGGCCCGGCCGGCCTGGCTCAGGGCTGAGCACTGAACTATGAACCAGGAGGTCACAGGTCGATTCCCGGTCAGGGCACAAGCCTGGGCTTCAGGCTCGGTCCCCAGTGCGGGGCGTGCAGGGGGCAGCCAATCAGTGATTCTCATCATTGGTGTTTCTATCTCCCTCTCCCTTCCTCTCTCAAATTAATAAAAATCTCTTTTTAAAATATGAGTAGGATGCCCTGGCCGGCGGCTCAGTTGGTTAGAGCATCGTCCGGAATGTCAAAGGTTGTGGGTTCGATTCCCAGTCAGGGCACAAGCCTGGGGTGTTCCCTGGTCGCGGCGAGCACAGGAGGCAATTGATGCTTCTCTCTCACATCAATGTTTCTCTCTCTCTCTCTCTCTCCCCCCCTAAAAAAACAAAACAAAACAAAACAATAAAAACATATTCTCGGGTAAGAATTTAAAAAAAAAGGTAAGGTGGTCCCTGTGGTGTGTATTTTACCAAAACAAAGAAAAACACGTTCAGTGTGTCTGGGGAGCCACCAGGTGAGACCCGGGGCAGCCCCCACTTTGGAGCCAGGGAGGGACAGGGAAGGGGGTGCCCCCTCCACAGAAGCATATGCCTCTTGTTGAAATGGCAGAAGTAGGAAGCTGACCCCCTAGCCCAGCGGTTCTCAACCTGTGGGCCGCGACCCCTTTGGCGGTCGAACGACCCTTTCACAGGGGTCGCCTAAGACCATCCTGCATCTCAGATATTTACATGACGATTCATCACAGGAGGAACATGACAGTGATGAAGTAGCAACGACAATAATGTTATGGTTGGGTCACAACATGAGGAACTGTATTTAAAGGGCCAGAAGGTTGAGAACCGCTGCCCTCGTCCTTAATTACATAGAAAAATACAACATGAAACCGGGCGGAGAGAAGGTGCTGACTCACACCAGGTGGAGGCAGTTCGTGGCCCAGAAACAGGGCCACGAGAACACGCCTGGCGGATCCGTGACAGGCGCACACGGCTCTCCACGGAGGGGAGCGCCCGGTCACAGAGACGCCCGGTCTCCGCCTCCCCTCGCACGACAACCATCATAGACCTGAACCTAAGACACAAAATGGTAAACTCCTCGAAGGAAACAGGAGACAATCTTTGTGATCTTGGGTTCGGCTAAAAGCGCAGACATGGCTAAAGGCGCCCCCATACAGCACTGATGGCTACACGGCGATCACAATGACCAGCTCCGTCCGGGAGGGACGGAAAGCCAGCTGGGTGTGGGCTGGAGGAAGGACTCGCCAGTCACAGGTCTTACAAAGGACTCGCATCGAAATACCTCACAGAGGACTCTCAGAACCCGACGGTAAGAAAAGGAGCAGCCCAGGTTTAAAGACGAGCCCAAGACCTGCCCAGCTGGTGTGGCTCAGTGGTTGAGCGTCAACCTATGAACCAGGAGGTCGCTGGATCGATTCCTGGTCAGGGCACGTGCCTGGGTTGCAGGCTCGATCCCTAGGAGGGGGCGTGCAGGAGGCAAGAGGCAGCGGATCGATGACTCTTTCGCTAAAAATCAATGAAAACATATTTTTTTTAAAAGGTGCGGTGGGAGTCTACTGTGCGACCACAGGGCACTCAGCGTAGAAGTCAGGGCCAGAGACAGAGACACGCCACCCATGTGGGAGTGACACCCCGCGGTCCTGAGACGCACCCCCCTTCGAGGACGCTACAACGCGGGACAAAACGCACTCAGAGCCAACGAAATACGGTCTGTCTGTCGGGTAGAAGCTAACAACGTCGGGCAGGGAAGGCCAGGAAGGAAGGAAAGCGAAGGTGGAAACAGAACCCAAAGGCCTGTGTACAAACACCAGCTACCCGCCCGCCGCGCCCCCGGCTGAGACCGACGGCGCCACGGCAGGTGCCAGGGTCCCCCTGCTTGGGAGGTACAGGTGCAGCTGCTGGGACGACACAGGGCGGGAGCCGTCAGACCCAGGGCGCGTGCTGCAGAACCGGCCGTGCCGCCCGGAGGTGGACAGCCCCACACGCGAACGTCGTAAAGGACCCCGAAACCCAAGGAAAGAGCACATTGAGCTCAAAGAAAGAAGCAAAGTGAAATGACAGCACGTGGAAGTGTATGCAAGAGAGCAAACAACCCAGGGGCTGGTTCTCGGGCAGGACTGGGGTGATGGGGACCCCTGGCAAGTCTCCGTGAGGAAAAGGGGGGCGGGAAGACGCAAACCCCACCATACGGCACCACCGAGTCTGTGACCAGGTCAGCGTGTCCACCATGCCGGCCACGGGCAGGCCTGCAGGCGCTTTGACCACATCGGCTTCTGCTGCACATCCTTGTTTGCTTTTACTTAAATATAAATATAAATATAAATATAAATATAAATATAAATATAAATATAAGTATAAGTATAAGTATAAGTATAAGTATAAATATAAATATAAATATAAATATAAATATAAATATATACATATAGATTTCAGAGAGGAAGGGGGAGAGAGAGAGACAGAAACATCAATGATGAGAATCATTGATCAGCTGCCTCCTGCACGCCCCACACTGGGGATCAAGCCCGCAACCCGGGCCTGTGCCCTGACCTGGACTCGAACCCTGAGCCCCCGGTTCATAGGTCGACGCTCACCCACTGAGCCACGCTGGCCGGGCTGAACTCGTGCTTATGAAACGTGCAAATGCTCAGCTCTGAGCACTAAACAGGGCACCCCAGCAGCAGTAAGCAAACTGCACAGAGATCCTGACTCCTCAGCACCCGCCCCCACCCCCCCACCAGAGCTGGGGACAGGAGGTCTGCGCCGGGACTACTTTGTTGAATTTGAAACACACTTTAGAATAGAAGCCTCTATATTAACACAAAGTAAATAATAGAGACAAATGAAGGAATTTAAAAAAAAGTAGGGGCCTGGCTGGTTTGGCTCAGTGGACAGAGCGTCGGCCTGCAGACCAAAGGGCCCCGGGTTCGATTCTGCTCAAAGGCACGTGCCTCGGTTGCAGACTCCTCCCCGGCCTGGGCCGTGGTTGGGGCGCGTGCAGGAGGCAGCCCATCGGTGTGCGTCTCTCACATGGACGTCTCTCTGTCTCCCCCTCTCTCGTCCACTCTCTCTAACAATCAATGGAAAAATACCCCTGGGTGAGGATTAACAACAACAACAAAAGAAGTGGGGGTGGGGGACGTGCTGCTCCCCGATGGCCAACTGATAAACGCAGCAGGGAGGGGGGCGAGCCCTGCCCGACGGTGCAGCAAAGGGAACGCAGTAACTCGACCCCGCAGAGGTCACGCAGGGAATGATCAAAGGCAGCAGCGCCCTGAGCGAGCCAGGCGGTATCGGGTGCCTCCCCACGACACGCGGAGGCGGACACAGTAGAGTCCCAGCCGAAAGGCGCAACCTCCGTCCCATCACGAGACGGAGCTGGGCAGCTCGCAGCGGGACGTACTGCAGAATAACCGGACGTGTTGGCAGGGAGGACGTGTCACGCAGGACGGAGGATGGGACATGGTCCCAGAGTAAAGCGACAGAGACAGTAACCGGAGGCGACGTCTGATTCTGCCGTCAGTGCGGTCGGAGCACAGGTTGCTGCGGGGCAGCAGGGAGACAACCGAGGGCTAACCCGCGCTGTGCATCAGCAGCCACACAGCCGAACAGCACGTCCCGGGCGTGTCACTTACATGTGTTTTTATTGATTTTATTTTATTTTTTTAAATAAGATTTTAATATCTTTTTATTGATTTCAGAAAGGAAAGGAGAGAGAGAGAGAGACATAGAAACATCAATGATGAGAGAGAATCATTGATCGGCCGCCTCCTGCACGCCCCCTACTGGGGATCGAGCCCGCAACCCAGGCATGTGCCCTTAACTGGAATTGAACCTGGGACCCTTCAGTCCGCAGGCCGATGCTCTATCCACTGAGCCAAACCAGCCAGGGCTGTTTTTATTGATTTTAGAGAGTGTGGGAGGGGGAGGGAGAGCGAGAGAAACATCCACCAGCTGAGGAGGAAAGCTGGTCAGAAACCCATCGAGAAACGACAAAGAGAATTAAAAAATGTAAACACGGGAACTCAAGGGGCAGAATAAAAAGAATAAATAAGAACAAAATGTAATTGCAGAAAGGACTGGTGAACAAGAAGAAAGAGTCACAGAAACTACTCAACCTGCAGCCTGGACAGGGAAGGGGCTGCCCCTGAGTGAGTGCCGGCCTCGGTGGCCCGGGAACGAAGACCAGGGCGCAAACCCCGAGTCCAAAAGGCCAAGCAAACCCTGAGCAGAAGGAACACAAGGGAATCGACACAAAGTCACGTCACCACCAGGGTAACAGCGGCTTGAAAGGGAGACGCACACAGAGGAACGGAGGAGAAGGACTTCACTGTCCTTTGAGAAAAGAACGCCGCCCAGAAGACAAGAGAATGACAGGGACTGAGAAAAAAAAGTACGGTCACCCCAGAATTCCATATCCAGCAAAAGTGCCCTTCAAAAGAGAGGGTGCCAACTTGCATGATGAGCCCTGGCTGGTTTGGCTCAGTGGATAGAGCGTCGGCCTGAGGACTGAAGGGTCCTGGGTTCGAGTCCAGTCAAGGGCGCAGGCCTGGGTTGCAGGCTTGATCCCCAGTGGGGTGTGCAGGAGGCGGGAGATCGGTGATTCTCTCTCATCATTGATGTTTCTCTCTCTCTCTCTCTCTCTCTCTCTCTCTCTCTCTTTCTCCCTTCCACTCTGAAATCAATAAAGATATATTTAAAAAATATTGCATGATGAAAATGAATTAATTTTATATTAATTTTATGCCTCAATCAGGCAGATTATTTTAAAAGGTGATATAATGACATTTTAACATTTTTTTCAGGATTCATCACTAGGATGGTTAGAAACATGAAAGGAAACTCTTTGAGCAGAAGGAAGTGATATCAGATGGAAACTCCAATCTACACAAAACATGCAGAACAGGGTAAGTATGTGGGTAAACAGAAAAGGCTTTTAAAAATATTTTTTAAATGTCTTCAAAAGAGAATGGGACATCCACATAACAACACGGAACCTTGCCCGTCGGTGTAGCCCAGTGGTTGAGTGTTGACCTACGAACCAGGAGGCCACCGGTTCACTCCCAGTCAGGGCACATGCCTGGGTTGCAGGCTCAGTCCCCGGTGAGGGGCGTGCAGGAGGCAGCCAATCGATATTCTCTCTCATCAATGTTTCTATCTCTCTCTCTCTTTCCCTTCTTCCCTAAAAAAGAAAAAAAAAATCAATTAAAAAAATAGAACCTTGGTCCATACTGTACACCTTCTACAAAAATTAACTCAAAATGAATCCTAGATTAAATGTAACTGAAGCCATAAAATATCTAGAAGAGAACACAGGAAAAAATTCTGCAATCTCACTTAAAGACCTAAAGTCAACACCAAAGCGTGATGTATAAGATAAACAACTGATCATCTAACTTCATCAAAATAAAAAAAAAATCTATAAAAGACACTTTTAAGAGAACAGAAAGACAACTGTTCTGTGTCTGGGAGAAAATGTTTGCAAGTCACATGTCCCACCCAGGACTGACCGGCAATGTATAGAGAACACACAACACTCAACGATACTCCGTACTTAACCCAACAGAAAAGGGCAGAGGCTCACCGAGGCCCCTGACCGGGAAAGGTCAGCACAGGCGTGGAAGATGTTCATCGTTAGACAAGACGGAGACAAAAGCATCACAAACTACCTCCCACGGGAATGGCCTAAGAATAAGGACAAAACCAAGTGTCGGCAAGGGCACGGGCAGCTGGAATGCTCCCGCGTGGCTGGTTGGTGAGCGTTCCACCAGGGGGGCCTCGTGAGAGGGGGCGGGGAGGCCCCCTGCAGTCAGGTACCCGGGAGGCCACCCCTGGAGGCTCTGCTAATTGATGCAGGAAAACGAACGCTGTACACAGGCGCCTGCAGCAGATGGACTCAGGATTACGAAAAGCTGAACAGCCTAAATATCCTTTAACTGGCGAAGAAACAAACAGTGGTCCTACGACTCAGCAGTAAAAGAATAAACTACGAATTCGCGTAACAACACAGACGCATCTCAAGCGCTTTCTGACTCAGAGGGACA